TGAAGAGGGTTGGGGCCAGGAACTATGGTTTCTGCTATTTACCATAGCTTCGCAACCTGTAGGAAGTCAGGCTGAGTCTGTGTCCTCAAATGGAAAATGGGGAGAATACTCACCTTTTGGGGTTGTTGTGAAAATCAAAACACATATAAAGTGTTATAGAGTACAATTGGTGCCTGGCACTCAATGTTTAGTAAATGTCAGTTAGTGGTCTGGCAGTGGCAATACTAGGTACTCAATAAATGTTTGTTGAATGCATAATTGAAAATTAATCCACATACTAACAGTGAGATTTGTGAGCCTGTAAATTCCCTTGTGTGTAAATCAGACCTAATAATCCTTGTCCTGTCAGCCCTGGTAGCAATGTGGATTAAATAAAGCATAAATGTTCCAGTACAAATCCATCTCCAGATGGGCTATTCAGTCCAGGGCAATTCCTCTTCAAGTCCCATTCTGAAAAACTTCCCGTCAACCGAGCCAATTCCTCTACATTCCTGGGTGCTCCCCTGGAACCAGGGAAAGGGATGTCCCTTACCTCCCAAGCCTGCCAGGCTGAGGAAAAATAGAGCGGGGAAAGCAGAGAATGTGAAGGGGCGAGGTGAGAGAAGAGGGAAGGTTGATGGGAAGAATGGACATGCACGGACGTGGAGTTGAGAAAAGAGTACGGATTAGGGGACTTGGAGAGAGGATCCCTGTGGAAGGATATGGGGGACAGTGGGCTAGGTGAGGGCGCTAGGGCATATCCAGGAAATGCAGAAGATGGGGATCTCGTAGGGAGTGGGGACCGTCCTCATTAAGAGGTCTGTAGGTCTACCTTGGAGCTAGGGGTCAAAGAACTCAGCACTGGCCTCTCTGGGAGGCCCCCCGAGGCTCGGAGTCTGGAAGGAGCCACTATCCAGCGGATCGTGGAGGGGGTGGGGAGGGGGGATCCGAAGCTTACGATTGGCCACCGCTCCGCCGGCCGGTGACGCTAGGCGGGCGGGCTCCTTTGTGACGTCACAATCAGCTGTTTGAACGTTCCAATTTGTGCGGTGAGCCCAGCAGCGGCTGCACAGTCTCAAAGCCCCGCAGGCGAGCGCAGCAGCCGCGAGCTTCCAAGCCGGAGCCCGGCCGCCTCCCAGTCCAGCCCGGCGATGCAGCCCGGCCTGTGATCAGCGCCGACGCCCGGACGCTCCGCCGCGCAACTACCTCAGAGCCACCCCGCCCGCCGTACCTCCCCCTCCCCAAGGTGAGTCCAGACCGGCTTCGGCCCAGGGGGTCCCGCGTCTCTGGACACGCCCCGAGCTCCCGGCTCCCAGGTCTTTGTCTCCAACGGCGGTGGCCGGGCTGCATTTCCATCTCCCGATTGGCTGCCGCACGCTGGTAGACCATGACGTCTCTCTATTTGCATATGACATTGAGACGTCACCAAGGCCGGCACCGCCCCCCCGGCTTGGGTCGCCTGTCCTCCGGTGACCCGGTAAGCGCTGGGTCGGGGCTTGGCTCACGGGTGAGGAACGCTGAAAGGCAGCAGGCCCGGAAGGGCCTCGGCAGTTTCCTGGGCTAACCCAGGTGCTGTAGTCAGGCCTCTGATCCCCTACTTAGGTCCGGGCGGCGCTGCTGGCTGTAGGTTGGAGTTCAGAGGCAGCCCAGAGCTCCACTTCTAGGTCGTTGGGGGGCAGCGCCAGATGGCGGAATACCTTCTCTCCAGCTCCAAGCTCTGCACCCCCGGGACTACCAAGCCGGAGCCTGATCTTCCTAATCGCTGTTGTGTGCAGCGCTTTAGAGGATGTCACTCCCAACCCCCAAACAAGGGGTCTTGGACTCCATTTCACTGAAGAGGAAACTGAAGCACAGAGGGGGGAAATTGTTTACTCCAAGTCATGAAGCTAATTAGAGTCATACCTACTGAGTGAATGATAGATGCATTAGCCATGGCACATGCCTAGTAGGAGCTCAATACAAGTAACAAGTTACACATCCTCCTAACACTGGGGACTCCTCCACCTTGGGCTCATTGCCATCCAAATTTTATGGAGCTCTTAGGTCCCCTCATTCCTGGATCTTTTTCCAGGAGGCCTCTGGAGACCTGGTCCCCTTTTGTGGCCCTGACCCTCACTCTGAACCTTGGAGACCCAGAGCCCAATAAAATTGCTGCATCAAAATTTCTGACCACAGAAAGGTGAGTCATTGGCTGCCTCAGGGTGCCTCTGGGGCTGATGTTGGGATACGATGGAGGGTGAGAGTTCCCTGCTTGGCCCTTTATTACCTCCCCAACCCCTAGCATTGTCAGCTGAGAAGGACATGACCTGGCCTAGTGCTGGTGATTACTAGGCTTGTGCTGCCCCCTTCTCTGCTTACAGAGAGGGCCAGGAGAAGGGAGTAGAAGGAGAGTTCTGGCTTTCCAAGTGGATGGGCCCAGAGACTGGGCCAAGAGTCCCATCCCAGCCTGGGCTTTGCTAAAGGATGGGTGGGGTAGAAGTGGCTTGGGGCTCAAGAGCTATTCTGGGCACAGATGCTGTAGTTATTAAAGGGAATGGTTCTCCCTGGAGCAGAACTGGGAATGTGAGAACCAGGAAGCTGGCAAAGCTGGGAAAGCAAATCTGGGAGGCTCCCCCAGTGGTCATGAGAGGGGGCGGGCACTGGCTGGCTGGTGCTGCTGTCACTCCTGGCTCTGTCACTTATTTGCTGTGTGACTTCAGGCAGGGAGCTTCCTCCCACTGAACCTCTTTTACCTTAATCTGTCTATAATTTGAGGAGACCCCCAATGGGTTCTGGTACACAGTGGGTGCTCTGGTAAATGCATGATGAATCTTGGTGTTAGGAACTCTAAACCCTTTTATAGCTGGGCAGAGGGGTTTTGAGGTGAGCAGTAACTTGAAAAGTTCTGACTCCTCTCTGACCTCCCTATCTCCCCTGCCTCATTATATTTTTGGGTGATTGTTTGCTGAGGCCTTCCTATGTATACTCTGGGCTGGATGTTTAGTGTCCTGGGACTAGACCTGCCTGGCCACCATCTAGTGTGTGTCTTTGGATAGACTGATTTCCTCTGATTCTCAGGTTGTAAAATGGGCCAGGTGAATATGATGGCCCTCACCAAGGCTCCAACCTTCTCTTCCTTCAGGAGGGGCCAAACTTTCAGGATTTTTGGTAACTGAATCACTGACTCCCTATGGCCGACAGACAGGTTGGGATATGTGGCTTGTATCAGGCAGACACTAGTTGGGGGTGCCCAACCTTTTATTATAATCTCTGTAGATTTCCCACCAGAGAAGCCAGCACCCAGGGAATACTTCTGTCTGGAGCCCACTGTGGGTTTGCAAATGTGGAAATACTGTTTATGGAGGTTGGATGATTCTGTGGCAAATGTGAAAACATACCCCAGAAATGGGAGGGATAGCAACAAGCATAGAAATAACTCAGGTGGGTTAGCAGTAAGTGTAGGCTGCCTCCAGGGAGTAGAAAAGTAGACATGCCCCCAGGGAGTTCTACAGGAAATGTGGAAACATCCCTAGAGGAAGGTGACAAGTGTCTCAGTAGCAAAATGGTTGACCATCTTCAGGGGATAGGTGAGGAGGCTCAAGCTTTGGGACATCCAGGGGACTCCTAGCCAGGCCTAGTCCTAAGGCAGGCTGAAGTGGGGAGAAGGGCAGGTCTATAGCCACCTCCTTGACATCTCTATTCCTGGAGCAGGGGATCTCCTTTCTTATTTTCATCCAGGGAAGGGCTGATTGAGGGGTTGGGTCCTGGTCCTACCCTCATTGCTCATCCTTAAGGGCTCCTGGGGTTTGATAGGCCCTCCCTTCATCATTACCTCCCACTGACCTGCTGTCTCTCTGAGGCCAGGCAACCTGATCTTCCTCCTAGCCAGGAATGCTGCCCTTGAGCAGGAGCTTAGGTATAGGGGGTGAGAGGGGGGAGGGCCCACGGGAATAGGATCTTAGAACCTCATCTGACAGACACAGATGAGAGCTGTGCAATCACATGGTAGCGGTTCTGTGGGATTTCTGCTAGCCAGTACTTTACAAGCCACACAGGCTCAAGTAGTGGTTCCTAATCTGGGGGGTCAAGGAGTAATGTTAGGAAATCATGATGAAAACTTCTTCCCAGAAAAATACCCAGGTCACCAAGTTAAAACTGTCTAATCCAGAGAGATACCCAGCAAAGGCAATGGAGTATAGTGATTGGGGGTGCTGACTCTGGAATCTGACTGTATGGGTTTAAATCCAACTTCTGTGTCTTATTAGCTGTGAGACTTTGCACAAGTTACATTACCTCTCTGAGCCGCAGTTTCTTTACCTGTAAAAGAGGGATAATAATTAGACCCACTTCCTAGAGTTGTTGTGAGAAGTACCTGTGGTAATATAGGTAAGGTGCTTAGCACAGTACCTAGCACATGAATGTTAGCTGTATTATGATAATAAGTAATCACAATATCAGACAGTTTCTTCCTTGCTTGGAGAACTGCTATTTACCCTTCAAGGTTCAGCGTGGATGTCCAACACTCTGGAGACCTTTCATGATAGAGTCTAGTCATATATATCACTCCTTCCATGCCCCTAGAGCATGCAATAATGTTAATAATTAACTAGTTGATTCTTTTACTGAATGCTTACTCTGTGCCCTGGTACGGCTCTAAGCACTTTGTGTTTAGCTCATTTAATTCTCATTAGAGCCCAGAGGAGGATACTATTATTAGCTCGTGTAATTCTTATAAGGGCCCAGAGGAAGGTACTATTATCACTGGCATTTGATAGATGAGAAAACTAAAGCACAGATGAGTTAAATAACTTCCTCAGGTCACGCAGAAAATAGAGAAGCATGAAAGCAGGTGGACTTACCAGGACACGCACACACCGCAGAGCTTCCCCACACATCCCTTAGAGCGTACTCTCACTATGCTCTGAGGGCTGCGGGTGATATCCCTAGCCGGGAGTCGGGTGGGCGCTGTGACTCCTCTCTGCACCTCCCAGGTATCTGCACTGCCGCTGGGCGCCCCCCTGAGACCGTTTCACTCTCCCACCATGTTCCAGCGCCTTACCAGCCTCTTCTTCAGTACTCCCCCGCCCCCCGAGGACCCCGGATGCCCCCGAGCCTTCGTCTCCGAGGAGGATGAAGTGGACGGCTGGCTCATCATTGATCTGCCGGGTGAGGCCTGAGTCGGGGGCCAGGACTCTGATTTCTGGGCCTGTGATGGGCAGGTGGCCGAGCTGCGGAGGGGAAGGGAGCTACTAGGGGATTGGGAAGCTCGCCTGGCCTCCTGGGCAAACGGGCTGAGGCAGTGACTGTGAAGGCAGAGTAACAGGGCCCCATCCCATGCAAAGCCCGGGCCATCTCCTGGCAGCTCAGCGTTGGGGCCCACACCTCATGTGCCCTAGGGCAGCTGGTCGAGACTCCTGGCCCGTGGGTGCCCCGTGGGCGCGGCAGGCGGGGCTGCGGGTCTGACTAACGATGCCCTTTCTCTCTCCGCCCCACTGTGTCCGGTGTGTGTGTGTGTCCCTCCCCGCTGCGCCCCCTCCTCCGCATGGCTACCCCTCCCGCGCCCCGTAGACAGCTACGCGGCTCCACCCAGCCCCGGGGCCGCTCCTGCTCCCGCAGGCCGCCCTCCGCCCGCGCCCTCCTTGATGGACGAGAGCTGGTTTGTTACCCCTCCCGCCTGTTTTACTGCAGAGGGGCCCGGACTCGGGCCCTCCCGCCTCCAGAGCAACCCCCTGGAGGACCTCCTCATCGAGCATCCCAGCATGTCCGTTTACGTCACCGGCAGCACCATAGTGCTGGAGCCTGGGCCCCCTTCCCCGCATCCCGATGCTGCCCTGCCTGACGGCGACCTTAGCGAAGGGTGAGCGGGCCGGGGACGTAGCCTGGAGACCTAGAGAAGCGTGTCTGGGAGGCCAGGGTCCAGGCCGGGAGGCTGGGGGAAGAGCGCCCAGGAGCCCGCCCTGCGTCGAAGGCGGGGCCTTTAGAGGCGTGTCTTCGTGGCAAAGAGCGGGGACAAGTCTAGGGGAGGGCCTGAGGGTAAAGGGGCGGAGCTTTAAGAGAGGGAGAGGCCTGGCGTGTTGGCCCCGACAGAGCTGGGGAGAGACGGATCTCCGAGGCTTGGGGCGGGTTTGGCGGAGGGGCGAGGCCGGAGCGCCGGAGGGGTGGGGTTTCCAGAGGCTAGCTCGGAAGGTAAGGACCGAATTGGAGGTGGGAGCCGAGCCTTCCCTGGAGTCTGGTTTAATCGTCACAGGGGTTAGAACTGAGGAGGCGTCTCCAGGCTGGCTCGGAGGAAGGGCTGGGGCCCACAAGAAGGGCACCGGGCGCCCTGCTAAGAGCAGAGACAGCATTGCGCTGGAGCGAGGGTGCGGGGACTGGGTGGGCGGTGCCAGCGCGCCTCTCCGCCCCGGGACCTGTCCGGCCCCGACCGAGCCCTGCTCTGTCTCCGCAGGGAGTTGGCGCCCGCCCGTCGCGAGCCCCGGGCCCTGCACCACGCCGCCGCCCCTCTGCCGGCGCGGGCTGCACTGCTAGAGAAGGCGGGCCAGGCGCGGCGGGTACAGCGGGCCCGGCAGCGCGCCGAGCGCCACGCGCTGAGCGCCAAGGTGGTGCAACGGCAGAACCGCGCCCGCGAGAGCCGTCCGCGCCGGCCCAAGCATCAGGGCAGCTTCGTCTATCAGCCATGCCAGCGCCAGTTCAACTACTGAGGATCCGCCGGCCGAACCACAAGCGCCTCGCGGATCCCGGACCCCTGTCGGGCCCCTCTGCCGCGGCCAGTGTGTTGCGCGAGGAGCGCCCTCCGCCCACCTGGGTTGGACACTACAACCTCCCTCCTCCTTGAGAGAGGTGGGGTGCTAGCCCCCTCTCCCACCTCCCTCGATTTTCCCACCACTGATCCTCTAATCCGCTTCTGAAGCCCCTTCTGCCCACCCTCCGACCCCATGCCTGATATCTAATCCTCCATTTCCTCCCCCTCCCTTGACATTCCATCCTTACTTCCTTCTCTGCTCTGTCCCCATCTCTACCCCGACTTTCTCTTCATTCTTGCCCTCCGTTCCTGTGCCTCTGGCCCACTCCTTCCACTAGCCTCTTCTCCCAGACCTAGCTCTTTTCTCTGCCTTCAATTCCCACTTTACAGCCTCACCTATCTCATGTTTGGCACTACACGCACCCCTGCCCTTATTCATTCCCAGTAATTCCCTCCCAAACGGATAGGGGGTGGCGCTGAGACTAAAGGCCTCTGCCTTTAGTCTCCCCCCTCCCTCTCCCCTGGGATTGGACTCCTTGGAGTTGTTTAGGCCTGTAAAGGTAAAGTATGTGGAATAGGACTGTGAGATGTGAGTTAGAAGGAGAAGTGGAGGGAATCAAGGGTAAGAGGCAGCCTACTGGAGATGTAGACAGGACATACAGGTTAAGAACCTGTGGGGAGCAGGGCACCATGCTCCCTGTGCTTGCTCAGTGGCCAAGCCCTCCTTTTGGGCTTGAGCCTGGAGTCTGCCCCCAGTTTTTATAATCCCATTTACCATATCTCTCCTCTGAAATTCACTCCTCTGAACGCCTGAGTCTGAAGGGCTTAGTACCTTGTTGCCCTACCCCCAACATGTCACCCCAGGAATAGAGGCTGGGCAAGGCCCTGCCATCCTGGCCATATGTTCACGTGCCCAAGGTGCTAGAACTAGTTTAGGAGAGATGCAGGCCAGAGGGCTTCTAGGTAGGGAAAGTGCACACTCCAGAGTAAGAATGCAGGGGAATGATGCGGGGGAGGACAAGGTGTGGGGTGAAGCCATCCCAAGACTGACAGCTCAGCCTTCATGTTTCACCTCTGGCCTTGTATTTCACTCTGCTCAGGATGGCTAATAAACACTCCCGGGTAGGAAGCCAGGAGCCCCACTGTCCCAACCCCCAAACAGTCCCTATCCAGGTTCAGGGCTTCCAGGGGGCCTCTCATTTTCTCCCCCAGGGCTCTCTTCCTTTCTAGTCCAACGGGGAGAAATGGGGGCCCTATGGTTACCCCCCCCCCTCTCCAGTAAGCAACTGGAGGAGGGAACTTGAATCCCTGGGTGAGACCAGCGGGGTCACAGGCAGACAGCATTCTCCTTCTTATGGTGGGAGTGAATTTTGGGCTCAGTCACCAGCAACAGCTTCTTGGGATATCCTGAGTTGCTTCCCTTTTCCTCTAATTGTCCTTTTTTAGTGTGTGCTTTCTTCCTTGACACTTTTAAGATTTCCTGTTACATACTTACATAGGTCTTCCCCCTCATTCCAATTCCAGGTTTCTAGGCCTCACAGCCAAGCTGAAGCTTGGTAGGAAAACTCTATAATCTCATGATGGTAAAGGCAGCTGCCCTCCCTGATCTTATAGCCCCAAGGCTTGTGTTGGGTATATGGATAAGGGAGGGGGTAGCCCCATGGTTGCCAGGATGGGGACAAAGGAAGTTCCTGTTGGGGTCTCCTATCCAAGCCAAATCTACAGTAAAAGGAGATCAAAGTCCCTAAGCCAGTCCACTAGGGCCCCAGTAGTTACAACCTTGCTTCTCTTGCCAAGGTTCTCCTTCAGTTATAGAGTTGCTTTTATTCTTTCAGCAACCCCGTGGTCACTTCACAGCCAGCTTAGGGTCTCCTGCACTTCCAAGAGCTTAAGCTCCCTCCAGCTCTTCCTGCCTACTCCTTTGCGGCCAGCTGGGGCACAGGCTCAGTTGTGAGCAGTCCCCATGATCCTTCTGGTGTGGAGGGGGCAAGCAAGTTATAGGACATTTGGCTCAAATTTCAAGAGACTCCTTACACATATTTCTGGAGGCTCCTGTAGTTCTAGAACCCTCCAATGTCGTCACCTGGCTGGTTGTAAGGCTCATATGTTTTTGTACTTTCCTACAGATTCGGTAGCATTTAAGTGTGGCAATATTTTAATTGTGTATAGATTTCTATGAACCAACACTACTCAGTCTCCTGCTAGTCTGATTCCTGAAGCATCAGACCTCATCATACTGTATCGACTGTGTATGTGCCTTTCACCTTGAGCATGCTTCAGGATTTTTTTTTTAAACCACAGAACTTGAATACACGAGGGAACTAGAATTCATAAAGTCCTATGCAACCTTAGACAGGAGGGGGTGAGAGAGTCTGTCGTGACTGATGTTTTCAGAGACCCTGGAGAAGTTGTATTAATTAATGTCAATATTACTAGCACTTTGCCAAAACTAAGTATGTCAGAGAGACCCCTGTTTCTACAGTGAGACCCAAGTACATCAAAGGGTGACTTACAGTAATTCCCCAATATGTCTGAGTGCTCTCTTCAAGCTGGTTGTCACTTTCCAGCTTTTGCCAGTTTGGCCCTCGCAGGGTACCATGTGTGTATGAATGCAGTTTGCTGCTGTTTGGGGGTATGCCTGCTCCCCACCCCCCACCTGGAACCCTGATCAATTTGTTCTCACCTAGAATGTCTTAGGTGCAACAAGAACCCCACTAGAGCTCTTGGATGCCTCCTCAGATCCATGTGGCTTTATGTGAGGGGACTGAATGCAGACACACCATAGCCCCTAGTATCTTCCCTCTTGCCCTGCCACCTAGTTCCAAATGAAACCAACAAGTTGAATGAATCCCTCTTGGATGTATTTTGAGACTGGCTGAAATGAGGCAACTCTGGTTGACCATGTTGTGACATGCTGACAGACTCAAGGACACAACCACCTCAATCCAGTCATGTGGCATGCCTGTGTACGTGTATAACAGGATTCTGATTGTTAGATTTTAATGTTATTCCTCTATGGGAGAAAAAAATTAATATAAAGAAAAATAAATAAAAATCTATTTAAAGCACATTATGCTTTCTGTCTGTATAGAGCTAAAGTAGAAGCAGCACTCTGCAATCTCAAGCACAGTATTGGCATAGGGATTATTACTAGGCTGGCTTTGGTTCTGGTTGTGTGTGTCACATACAGGGAAGGAAGAGGGAAGATGAGCTTGCTGGAAATAGAACCAGACAATTGTGGGGTCTGACTCATAAATAACTACTTTCAGAGGATCCTTATAACCCAAGACATCTATAATGACAATTGAAACACAGATGAGAATAAGCATGACGGAGTCATGGTCTCAGGCATTAGGTTCTGGCAAGGGCAAGGAGAGACTGCAGGGGAAGGGATGAGTCTGTGTCTAGCTGTAGAAGATACAGCAGAAGGCAGAGGCCCAGACCAAGACAAGGACAGAGCCCTAAGCATCAGAGTTCACTGAAGGTTGAGAGTAGGGTGGGGGCAGAAGCAGCAGGTTTGGAGTCTATAATTTTTAGGTAGGAATTAAGCCAGGAAAGGGCAAAACCTGGGCATATTGATGAGAAATCACCCCTAAGCCTAATGTAGATGAGAAACAGGGTACCCAAAGGGCGGAAAAGTCGTGGACATCTTTGAAGTATACCACACAAAATGACCACTTTTATTTGGAAGCTACCTGATCTAACCACAGAACTGAAATGAAGGTGGAAAGCTGACCTAAAGTGGGCTAGATTATTTTTTTTTAATTTTTTGTTTTTTTAATATATGAAATTTATTGTCAAATTGGTTTCCATACAACACCCAGTGCTCATCCCAAAAGGTGCCCTCCTCAATACCCATCACCCACCCTCCCCTCCCTCCCACCCCCCATCAACCCTCAGTTTGTTCTCAGTTTTTAAGAGTCTCTTATGCTTTGGCTCTCTCTAAAGTGGGCTAGATTCTTGATGCTGTTACAAAGAATCTTGCTGGTTAGTCTGGGCTTATCTGTTGAATGGAGGAAATGTTTACAGTTGTTTTGAAGCAATCCATCCTGTCACTGTAGAAACATATGTAAGAGGTGGAGAAAAAGTGCATCTGGGTTACTGATGGCTTCCTGTCCCTAAAAAATTCTGGGTGGCCTTTGATCCTAAGTTGATTCTGTTATTTGCATCCAAAACAAATTTGACCAACATCTATCAAAGTGCCTGGTACAGTGCTGAAACACTGAAACAGGCTAGTTTCTTCAAAGTCAGTATAGTAAGGACAAGGTGGAATTCTAATTTACAAAGAAGGCTGTTCCTATTCATCTATGGTCCAAACAAAGAGTTTGTTCACCCAGTAATCCCTTGCCAATAACGTACATTTATGTTCTAGGACAATGACATTTATTTAACACATTCAATATTTCACATTGTACAAACCCTTAGATTCTCTTTATTCACTGGTCCATTTCTACAACAAATACATCCAAAACACTATATAATAAAATTATTTACAACATTTCCAAATGAGAAGCTTCTTTTTGCTCCCGCTACTGCTATTCACACACATAACTTCCACAGCACAATACATCATTAGAAGATCTAAAAATGCTCACCCTGTACTCTAGGCTGCTTAGGAAATGTGAAAACTAATAACATAATTGCATTAGCTCCTCTCAATACATGGCAACATTTTAGAAACCTTGAACTTCATCTTGCAACACCAAAAAAGGGTTCAACAACTCTGCTTTCCCCATTGCACTTTATGAAACAGGTTGCAGGGACTAGGAAAAGGGCTGCTTTATTAAAATGACTAACTGTACAGAAATGGATTTTAAAAAGTCACAGCTCAAAATTGCTTTTTGTAAAATTCACACACATTTACAAGGATCAAGTCGCTGTCCAGCTTGTTTACTTGGATTTTCTTCGCTTGGATTGCACCGCACTGGTTATGTCTGTCGGGGGAAAGAAAGGACATGCTCAGCTGAGGCAACTCTTTATGGCAGTGCTATTTAGGCAGTCCACAGGAAGCAGGGCTGGCCGGAGTGGGGTCCTACTGGCCTCTGAATAAATCTAAGGTCCTCAAAAGGAGTGCTCAGTGTGGAGAGGGTGTCAGGCCTAGACCTGTACAGTAGGGCCTTGGAGACTTGGGACGTAGGGTACAGGTGGTGGGAAATGGAGCACACATAAGTAGTTGGAAAAAGAGGCAGGGGTGGGGAGAGCATCTGGAGCTGGGCAATTAACCCCACAATCTCCATCACCAGTTCTTATCACCCAGTGAAATGACAGAATGAGTGCTTTTGGTGATACATCCATGAGTGTTGCTACAAGCAAGTGAGTAAGCTGTGCCAGAGTGCAAAGAACCAGCCTCTGGATCTCTTTTGGAGCCAAGCCATTATTTTGCAGTAAGCAACTCTTTTTGCTGTACTATAATCAAAGTCTCTAAATAGTATGATCACGATCCCTGGTCAAGTGTCTACACACAGGCATAGAAGCAATTCAGAGCAAGCCACAGCCTGCTCTGAGCCCAGGTGAGCCTGCAGGCTTCATGGAAGAGGTGGGACCTGAGTAACTTAAACACAGAGAACAGTGGCATAAAGGGAATAAATGTGTTCCTTTCATTCCTCTTTTAATGTCTTCAATCAACTCAATCTTATTCCATATTTAAACCATGTTTCTCAAAAACTTCCACACATAAGTCTTCTACAGCAGAGTACAATGAATAGCTTAAAGCTCTCCAAATGTAAACATTTCTTTAAAATTTTATATTGATCTTAGGGGCGCCTGGGGGGCTCAGTCGGTTAAGTGTCTGACTCTTGATTTCGGCTCAGGTCATGATCTCATGCTTCATGAGATCGAGCCTTGTATCAGGCTTTGTGCTGACAGCATGGGGCCTGCTTGGGATTCTCTCTCTCCTCTACCCCTCCCCCTTGCTGTTTCTCTCAAAATAAACATTTAAGAAAAACAAAATCTTATATTAAATTCACTCTCATTCTTCATGTTGTTCCACAGATCTTTTGGTCTTAATATGAAAACAATGTTTTAAAGGTTTATTATCTTTTTAAAGGTTTATTTTATTTTCATTTTTGAGAGAGAGCACAAGCAGGGGAGGGGCAGAGAGAGAGGGAGATACAGAATCTGAAGCGGGCTGCAGGCTCTGGGCTGTCAGCGCAGAGCCCAACGCAGGCTCGAATCCACAAACCGTGAGATCATGACCTGAGCTGAAGTTGGATGCTTAACTGACTGAGCCACCAAGGCGCCCTGAAAACAATGTTTTAAAATTACTTCCCATCAAGGAGAAAAAAATATTTTCTATCTAACACAATAATATGTAAGATGAATCAGTTTTAT